GATATGGTATGCTTATCCATTTACGGACGCAATACAGTCTCAACCTTTCCTGGTCCGGTTTTAGACAGCTGAATTCTCCATGCGACCAAATATTAGAAAAACTGACTACTCACTCAATTTCAATAGTTGAAATGTAAAACAGGTTTCTTCGTGACGCCGGAAGATCCCTGTGCCGTTTAACAGTATTATCAGACGCAAAGCTATTACATGTGAACTACAGACTGACATGCAGCATGCTATTGGAAATTTAGAATTCAACAGAAGCCAAATATGGGTTGCTAGACGTTGCCATGCTCTCCACAACCTTGGTCACGAAGGCCAAGATGAAACAGCGCTAGGGAAAAGTCCTTTTGAACACTGACCTGATTGTGGTTAATTTGATCAAGGAGTCCACAACTGGAACTGATTACTTGTCGTGATCACTTCAAGGAAGTGTTTCTGTCAAGTGCGTAGCCAGAGTGAATTTGGTACCTTGTGACCGAGGCGACTAGATTATGACCGTTTAGAGCAGAATTGTCCCGGGTGTGTCTCGCCCATCATACGTAGGATTTAATGAGGCGCATGTGTTTTGCACAGCTTCCAATCTTGGGTTCAGTTCTGTCTGTATAAACTTCACTGTGAATTTACGTGAATAAATACGTGACATATGGGGCGCTTTGATAGGTGTTCTTTTTCTGCAAGAATCTTGATTGTACCGCGTGATAAGTCTATCTGAGTGCGGTATTCCTTTGGATATACCTTTTTATAAAATCCCTACTGTATGACAGATGGAAAACACTGCATTTCATTACTATGATGTTTGACGAATTTCTTCGGGTAGTTCGCTGTTTTCAGTCCCTTTTCGATAGTCTGTAGTTCACGATCCAGCTTGCCTGATGTGATGTAAAATAGCCGGGCACTAACTGTCGCTTTCACTCTACTTGGCAGATGCTAAGTTGTACTGCCTTTCAAGATTGGCTTAAGATGGACTGAGCAGATCGTTGTATCGTTTGGCCGTCTAGCGATCAAAGCATCCTAAAGTGTTCACTTTGAATCCGCATATAAAGCCGATATTTGAGGAAGGAAGCAAACTTCTCTCCTATTTGTGTTTTGTTATATACAACGGAGAGTATGTAATCGATCCTGTGCATTGCTTCCATACCATTCTTCGACGCAGACAAATCGGCTAATGTTTGACTCAGTGGAATGCCCATCGCTACGCTATCAACTTGTTGATATCCTGTGCCTTGAAAGTTAAATTCGACGTTTTTTGGCACAATAAAATAAGGCAATGAGAACGTGAACCAGGAAGTGGTGCACAGTTGGAGTGGGTTCAAATACAGTCAGAAAAGAAGTCAACTTTTTCTCTAATCAGAACAAGAGTGAATAGCGACCGGACATCATAGCAGCACGAAACGGTATGAGGTAAATATGTTCTGTTCGAGCTATCGACAAAATCGAACATACACTTCATGCTCTAGATATATAACTTGATCTAATCACTCTCAGGATCTTCAATAGCCGTGGAGCTAACTACTTGTAGGCTGACCGATTAGTGGCTAAGATAGACCCGAGTGAAACACCGCGCCGGTGGGCATTTGGCAGCCCGTAAAGCTGGTGGGTGTGAAAATCAATAGGTTTGATGGCCTAGTACTGTGAATCCATAATGAAACTACGGAGTTTTAACCAGTGAAACCTACGTATTGGCAATGAATTCCCCCCGTTGATTATCTGGTATCTAACAGTATGTGCTCCATTTTGGCGACAAAGTCTTTTTTGTTCAGGATCCCGGAATCGCAACTTTTGTAAAGTTTTTAGAATAAAAAATATCACAGGATTTTACTTCGGTTATTTCAAAGCTTCTGTTTGAGCTCCTCCAATGACTCACGTCTAATGCACTGGCGAAGCAGTCAACTGGTAACTGAGCCATGCATATTCGATCTGAGCCAGTTTTCTGCTCCTTGGGAGGGTGGAGTAAGATCAACTGTGCCAGATCAGAAACAGTGTCCAGCGTGCGAGGGATCAGATTTACTTGGGTGATTTTCGGTGATCAACCCAAGTAGAGATGTCTCCAGTTGAGGATAATTGTTGTCTTGCTGAATGGTCGTACGGCTCTGTATCTGTCTCTTGGCTTCCTGCTCCATCCATTACGGCAGCTCTAGACAGCCCTTAATGGAGAAAAACGAAGTTATTACAGCTGTATCTATAGGGTAATCATAGAATGTTCCACAAGGTCGTGCTAACATCTCCGTGAGGGGAGCGAGGAGCGTGGAGTTGCAGGTGCTCTACCCGGATTGGCTGGCATTCTGACCAATCGGGACATGCCTTCGTTTGGTCCGTATCCTGCACCTGACACATCCTTTCAAATGATGTGATGTACGGTTATGAGGGACGGCTGGCCTCCGTACAAAAAGGATGATCAGTTAGGGGATCCTAGTTAACTCGCCTTCAGAAAACTAAGGTGACACAAGAGTGATCCGCTAAAACGCTTTTGCGACTTTGTCAATAGCTCAGTGACCTCAGCTAGAGCTAACAAGCACCTAAGCGGTTTCTGTGTTGGCAATGAAATCCCTCTAAATGGAGGACACTACATGTAGAGCCCAAATAACCATTTCTGTTCCCAAACTACTGCTTTTATTGTTTGATCTAGAGCTTCCGCTTGATCGAGTCCCATTCTTATTAATGAGCAATGTTTCGGTCTACACATGCTTGTATGTCTCTTTCGTTTTAGACGGGATTTCCACGCAAAAGATCACTTGTTTGGAACAAGGCTTCTCATAAATACATAGATGAGGAGAGGTGAACTGGGCTGGTTGTGTGTAAAGTTCTATATGACCAGACGGAAACGATCGACAAGCATCAACGAAGGTTTATGTGATGATAAGTAATCCGGAGATTTAATGGTTCCATGCTATTTCTCTCCACAAGCAAATAGACCAATGACTTTCCTTCTTAGGACATTTTCCCCCGGGATCGACCACCGTTTCTATGTCACTAAGTATGTCTTCCGGTGCGAAACACTGTAAGACAGACTTTACAAATTGTCTCAGTCAACTGTGATATTTCTGACAGCCGAGATTTACGCAGAAACATTTGACAGGGTTGTGGGTGACATCTGTATGACAATATCTATACGGGAGTACTGGAATAACATTCAAGATGCAGATACAAGGACGTCAGATCAGTACACGTTGAACAGTCTGAAATCCAATAGGTATCATTCTCCATTTGGCCGGAATCTTGTTTTTCCTTGTCAACAGCACATCACCAGGTTGAAAATTCTTAAGCCATGCAGGGTACACGAGCAAAACTACGAAATGAGTGGGCAGCAGACCTAATCTTAGATGTCCTCACACTTCGGCAACTTTGTGTACGATACCTATTCACTCATGTTTCCAGGTCTTCGCTGATGTCGTCTCTCCCTGAATCATTGCCGTTTGTTTCAGGAAATGCAGCCACCCCAGCTGCTTGCAGAGCTTTCGCATTTTATTTTCACTAGGTATGTTTGTTTCAACGCCTTCAGCACACTCCGTATACCAAAAACGCAGCTAATTATCGTTGAACACGAATGTAGCCTAAACGTAGGTCGGATCAGATGCTAGTGAATAGGGATTCGGCGCTCCAGCATGACAGACCGAAAGCGCTGCTACCTGACACCTCAAAGTACAAGTTCCGCCAAAGTCCATAGAGATCGAAAGGGTGCCCAGAATAACCTCGTTGATGACCTCATAAATGACCAACTCATGTTTTTGGGAGGGGTACCAGCAAATATCAATGCATTTTATTTTAAGGATAAGAGCCACTTGGGACAAAAAGACCGATAGAAGCAAACAGCAAGCTTGCTTTTCTATTGACCAGGGACCGTTTTAAATCACAGTCCTTGGTTTATGACTGTTATATCTGCTGATTCGTCAATCTGTGGTATCTGCTGCTGACCCGCTCCAGTGCCTAGTTCCGGAGAAAAAAGACCCACAGAAGGGAACACAACCGCTATATTCTGAACAAGCGAGTGCGAGAGCAAAAGTTACAACGGCCCCAGGCTATTTAAAGGGGACTTTCTGACATTGATCCAGGCTGTCTGATAGACTGTAGTGAAAACCCATCAACATCGATCGTGCCTCTATGAGAAGCCTGAACGCTGATCACATTCGGTCGTGCTTCTGTGGCATGCAAGAAGACTCATCAGGTTTTGCTGAATTGATTGAATGATTGACTGGCCTGGATGTTTGCTGGCCTTCCTGTTGAGTTTTTGGTGGAGCAGTAGGTTCCGGGCGTTCTGAAGTTGCTTTCAGGAATCTGACCTTCCTGATAATAACAAAGCGAGCGCACACACAGACTGCCCAACGTTTTCGGTCAATCTAACTGCAGGTCACGGAGTGCAGGCGCGGAAATCAAATTCAAAACGGTAGCACCAAAATCCTATGGTTCGGTTCAGTGGTCAGGACTCACCGAGCCCGCTATGAGGAGTAATAAGCACCAGTCTTGAGTGGTCTTCACCTGTTGCATTCTCTTTACTTGGTGAAAAATTTCCCTTATTAGACAGTGAAGGTTGTGACATTTATTTTACAATTAGCAATAAAAGAACGTCTGACAATGAGTTCACATTGGGTAAGGAGCTATATTCAGATGACCGTTGCTTATCATTTAATTTGGCTGCTTAACTTAGGAAACTTTACTACGTCTCTGAGACAGGGTTATTTACCTTAGAGTACTCAAAGTATGCATAACTATGGAGAGACGCACCGTCCTACTAGTTATTCAATGATTCACATCCATTTTTGTTGTCTTGGCCGTCATATCCAGGCAAATTATACCTTTTTTTAACAGCAAGCACAACTCGGCAGATTTAGGACTCACCCACTCTGCTTCATAAAGTATTAGGCTGATAAAAGTATTGGTAGTAGAAAACCAATAGATGAACCAGGGTTATTCATCTGACTGAGGTGAAATGTACTTCTAAGCGGCTTATTATCGCGAATGCCGGATCGATCGATATGGGCGTCACATTCAAACGGCCTTACTTGGTAGAGAATTGTGTGCGGGTGACAAACACAACGAGGTGATTGCCATTCTTACTTTTTACACTACGCAAGTCACAATTCCGAGAGGCTGAAAATATCTGCGATTTCTCAGTTTTCAACCCTGAAGATCTTGGAAACATATTAACCAAGTCATAGACGGAATGGATCCAACGATGTTTACAGACCCGAATGTGGTGATCAAACTTGGGCGTGAGTTACAGAAGCGCGTTGGACTGTTACCTGTTGTGGAAGTTCATGCATTTCATTTGGATTCCCAACCCGGGCAGATTGTGCGTATGTTACGTGTCCAACCACAGTCCTACTCTGAGATCGCACGTGTTGTGCGGGCAGCGCGAACGATGAAACTTACAGTCCGCGCATGTGGTGAGAGAACTGGAGGCGATATCGGAATTTACGGAACACCATCCACCGTATTAGTTGACTGCGGGCTTCTAGCCGACAGTCCGCGGCTGGAATTCGTCAACGTGAGGCGCAAAGGTGATGACGAGGAAATACCGGGTCTTCGTGTCCTTGCATGCGTTGGGATAAATGAACTCGTGCAGTTTCAAATCAACAACAGAATTGAGATTGCCCAAAGTGTGGAGACCGCTTCGATTTGGGGAACTGTAGTCGGAGCTGTCACGTCCAGTGCCCCTGGAATCGTGGGGCCTTGTAGTAATGCACAAGGAGGATGTTTATCAGACGAGGTGATCGGCATTCGAATTGTGGACTGCCACGGGGACCTCATTCAGTACTCAAGCAAGGAAGAACTTTCAGCCGCTTTGTCTACTCTTGGGGTGCTGGGTATCGTGTATGATATAACGTTGCGATACACCCCACTGTCGCTCACCAGGGTAAGTAAGAGTAACTTGTATCAATATGTCCGCCCTTGAAAACTCAGAAGCACAGTGCATATCCCTTCACACTTGTAGGTCATTCCATATCTGGGTTAAATTTTACCTCTGCAGATCCCACACATTACTTCTGCGGTAATGAATTAGCTGATACAAGTTGATCTTACAATAAACCGAAGAACCCCTTGGGGCGATGTGGAACAAGCTCCCTCCCTCCCCCGTCCGGAGGATGACGAGGGCGTAATCCGAAGGTGTATAAGAAGAACTAGAGAGAGTTATGAACAGCACATAGATAGCTTTTCAGGATGATGAAAGCTGTTCATTTGTACTTGAAGTTCTCTGAATATGAGAAAACTTTGCATTTATACGGACATTGAACGGAAATGACATCAACACCACTAACCGCGACGAGCACAGCGGCAAAAGTGACAGCAAAACAAAAACTCTAACAAGGTTTTTCCCCGTTAGATACAAGCTGAGAGAGAAAATTTTAGGCGCTGTACTCTCTCTTTCTAAAGGATACTTAAGCTGGTTTTAAGTGAGGGTTAGACGTCTAACTTCGAGTAGTTACGATGTACTAATGAGGTTTTCCGCGAAGTGTTTGGAGATACTCCTGCAGGATTCTAGATAAGAATAAACACTAGGTGTCCATATTGAGGGTTCATTACACTTCTGACACAGGAACACTTGGAGATAAGGGAGCTTCTCGCTGATAAATGTGTCCAATTGAAACCAAGCTATGGTTACCACCCGCGGTAAAGAAGGAAGTCTTGCTGATGGAAGCAAATAACTTCGTTTCAATTCTACGTTCTACCCATATCTTGGACGGTTATCATCCGGTGGATCGAAATTTACGGGCGTGAGATTTGCAAACCTGTTCTTCCAGACAAGTAACATCTGCCAGTTCTCATGTTCCCGAAACGGGAAACTGCGTTTAGTTGTGGTTATCATACGTGCGAAAATTGCTTAGATCGTATGCTTGATTACCTGTTTGTTGGAGAATTCAAATAACACAAGTGATGGAGTAGATTAATGGGGCTGAGGCACGGAGAACTGCGCGCAACTGTAAGCACAGGGTGAACGTCTTCTTTAGGCTAGTTGTCAGTGAATCCTCTGTCAAGCGGAAGTTCGACGGTTCATGTCGGTTCCCGGAACTTTAGTTCCGTTCATAATACGTGAACACAGACTTTTTATTTCTGATGTGGACGCGCTCTCACCTACCTGTGTGTGAATAGCGCCTTCTGTTGAGATAAGTCCCTGATCGGCCAGTCCATTCACTCTATCATATTGCTGCATACGTTGAATCCGACTACATCTCTCTGGCTGGAACAAGGTGTATGCCAACTACTTCTATGCCAGTTGTGATAGTAAGGCTGATGTTGAATAATTGGCTAAGAACATCTTCCAGACTTGAAGTTCATGAAGAAAACTTGTTGAAAAATTACAAACGTAAATCCAGATGATTTAGATGCCGCCAAGATCCTTTTTAGTGACTTTTAGCAGTATGGCACCAGACCCATAGATCCAAGTACCTCCATGTTTACATCTTCAGTTGTTCGAAGCTTCAGTTAACGGATTCACGACCTTCCGCTTTACTTAACTCTACTCCAAGTCTCTCTTAGTCTAGTGGATACAGACACAGTGACCATGGAGGTCATCTTTTACTTACATCGAGGCCTGTCCATTTTAGGACAGGGTTCCGTCTGCGTAATCAGTCATCTATTTTGTGGAGTGTACTAAGATCCTATTAGGCTAAAATCCCATATTGACTAGCCGTTCCCACAGAAGTTCATCCAAACAAAGGACGGGTATTCATACTCAAGTGCAAATTGGGATGACGGCGATGGGCGGTTAAGCCGAATCTCTCACTCGTTTTTTTCAGTTGGAACGACATCAACATTTCGAGGTACTTTTTTCATACGACATGTAACCATGAGGTTGACGAAAACATCTCGGTTTGTTGCAAAACATCATCGAGGAAACGTATTTTTTGAGTGCTCATCAAGCTTAATAACAAATTGCACATCTTCTGAATTATAAATTACGGAGATGCTTAATTTTTCGTTTATGGAATTATTCAACCGAACGTGATGCATCCAGACTGCCTCAAGTTCCAGTCGGGTCAACTTTGAGCAGTTCAAAACTTGACCATCTTTGATTCCAAATCCAAACTTCTATCGCTAATATTCACAAAATTCCAAGCTTGAATTCAAATAATCGGGGACAGTGATGAAATCGAGCTTTCCCTGCTCTACACTAAATCTAGTGCTCCTTGACTCACACCTTATTAGTAACGCTACAGTTGGCTATCGTCGGTAGTGTTGCGCCACTTACATGAATTGGACGACCACCTTCACAATCTAGACTCCGAAATCAGCCTTCCAAGGGGAGAATTATATAAGCTGACACAGAAAAGAGGATGGAACGCTCAAGTAAAGTACTAAAAGAAGAACGTTCGGGGCTCAGTGCGTAAATGCTTGATTTACTCAGGGAAAACGATTTGAGAGAGAAGTCCCGATACTTTCGAACAGCGATGAAATAAACGTGTAAATGAGTAAGAAGTCGCTAGTGAGACAGAACAGTCACTCTTCGTGAACATCATGGGCACAAAGCCAGCGCCCGTAAGCTTTTCGGTCCGGCTAGGATATCACAATGCCCGGAACAATGGGATCGTTTGCTTGCCATGCCTGTAAGGTTTCTAACCATGTGAAGGTCCCACAAGACTCCGCTTCACTGTGGTCGGTTTCATTTCGTGCTACCGTGCTATAGTCTTCTCCTAAGAAATTTTCGCTATCTTGGTTCCGAACAGAAGTGGATCGCTCGGTGGACAGTTTCAGGCCAAGTTTGACGTACGTCCTAACCACCACAATGTGATAAGTCTTGTTTTTTCAAGAGCGATATGCTTCAGACAAAATGGACTTCACATCTGCGGACAAACGGCACTTATCTGATTCCTGCTATGCTACGAAGGCCACAGCTTGTCGAAGACGAATCTTTTGGGTGTAGATCGGTTTCAGGTACCCCGCTTTCTTGTATCTGGGATAGAATTCTGGGAAGAGTGAGTTGGCCGATGATACGACTTCGAAGCGACGTAATTCGGGTCTTGCACTTTGTGGATGATCATGCGGAAAATTGCGGATTTTAGTAACTCATCGATATCGACTTTGACTAGCGACATGTCTCCTATAAAGAGTAGGCTGTAGACGTTTGAACGATTCCGTGCTTTAAATCAAGTGATGAACCGCAAGTAAACTTACTGACGTTGTTCAGGACGCTAAAATAACCGAACGGTTATTTCTGAATTGGGGCCAAAAAGCCCAGGAAGAGTTTACAGCCTAACTGAGAATTATTGGCAGTGGACACCCCGGGAAGGTCCGGATACCGATTCAACAAGCCACAGCGTTTTGCATTGGATACAGAAGCGAACATTGCTTTTCTGATTAGCGATATCCTGTACGTATGTTTTACCATTTTGGCGTGACTTCCTTATTGACCTGATGCACCAATACCGATCTCATATACTTTAAAGCAATTATCTTCAGTAAATTCCTGAACTCCCTTCTCGGTAAGACCTTCCATTCGGAGACAGGAAGGCTCGCTGGAAATGATATCGGTTTTGTCGTTTTTTCAAATTATTTATGTCTGTCTTACTCTCCTGTGTACTTTTAGCACGATGGTTTCAAAAGAGTGAAGTCTTTGCAAATGGCATAGTAATTAAGGCACGAGCATACATCCACGGTTCGGACCCAGCCCCCGCATCTTGTCTGCACCCATATGGGCTTGGGCTACTTGGCATTATCTTACCGCTTGTGCTTTCTTTGGGTAACATAACAGCTAGGTACTGATCAAGTCTTATAGTTGATAATTCATCAAAAGTGTGAGTTTCGGATCCCCCGATCAGGCCTACCATAGAAGTGTAGATGACTCGGATACGTTTAGACCAGCCCAGACGCAGGTGTACCACCGGTGCAGGTAAAGACAAATTTTAACTCATTTAAACTTGATTACCCAGCTGATGTGTGCTCCTTCGGGTGGGGCTGTTTTGCGGATCATTCTAATCCGAAAATCTAGTGATCCTTGGCGTATTTCAGTGTTTAATCTTCTGACATGGCAAGAGACAAACATATAAAAGATTCAGGAGCAGAAAAAACAACTGAGGATGCCAAACGGAGATTTGGAGACCATGATCAATAACAGCCAATGCTTCTGAGATTCTATGCAGAATAGCTTGACAATGCCATTAGTTTAGGTAGCGCTTGGCAGAATTAACGATCCACTGGCTGCCCAAAAGGGGGAGGGATTTGCCTCATTCTGGACATTTCGGTCCAAATAGGCTTACATAATAACCACTAGTCCAGACGAAAAACTGTTCTGAAACCTTTTTCCAGTCTGATGAACCTGATTAGTTGCATTGTCGGCAACGGTAAGACAGAGTACAGGTTTGTAAAGGGTGTTTGTCGATCATTCGTTGATTTCACTGCACTGCATGAACTCGTCTACGGGGTAGGCGATGAGGTGTGTGAGACTGACTTCCACACTATCTATCAATACGATTAGCTGGACAAGGCAACTGGTGTTCCCCTGGTTCGCTCAAGTGTGGTACACTTTTTTCATATGCTAAACGCAGGGTAACTTATCCTCCCCTTACCTGTGATATCCTTAATTATATAGTTCGTACATCAATTATACAGTTTCATTCATCCTTCTTTTCTCTTCGTTTCATCTACCTATTGTTTCTTATTTGCAGACAGCTATGTAGGTCGTGCTACTCTCAGACGTGCTATTATTTACTTCTTACTATCCATTCGATGCAAAAAAAATTGCTAGGTATCATCAGTCGTGGACGCGGAAAACCTGGGCTCTTATAACCACAATGTCTTACTATCCATTCGATGCGAAAAAATTGCTAAGTATCATCAGTCGTGGACGCGGAAAACCTGGGCTCTTATAACCACAATGCATAGCAATAAGAACAGAGGACAACAACACGATGCTAGACA